GAAAGGAGGGCGATGGCGGTCCGCTGTAATATGCTGGCACGCAGATTCGCGCGGTGTAGCTTTGGAGTAAAGATAACTCTCTTTAAAGCCTTTTGCCAAACTCTATACACTTGCAATCTGTGGGTCAACTACACGCAGCGGGCCATCAACGCTCTCCGAGTACAATATAATAACGCATTCAGGGTGCTGGTGGCGCTCCCGCGCTGCTGTAGTGCGTCTGCGATGTTTGCGCACGCGCACACGGACGGCTTCCACGACGTGCTGCGACGCCGCATCGCCTCACTGATGCTCCGTACGCGGGGGAGCGCCAACACCATCCTGAACGTGCTCAGCGATAAGCCTGACAGCCCCCTTCTGTGGCACTGGTTACAAATGCATGTGCCCGGTGCCCCAGAGGGTGGCAGATACTGGGTGAATTAAACTCTAGATTAATTTTATTCAAGTAATTAATATATTAAAAAATCGAATTAAGTTATATTGAATTGATTTAAATTGAATAAGATTAAATTAAATTAAAAAGATTAGATAGAATTATATAAAATTAAATTAGATGAGATTAAATTTATTATAATATTAAAGTTACTTGTATGGACTCAGTCTGAAATAAATAGATTTTATTTTATTATTTTTATATCCACTACCCCATATCTTCCGTGGGTGTCGTAAAAGGTGACAGTGGGAAGCAGGTAGAAGATGGGCAGCAGCATCTTCCTGATAACAGCAATATAGAATTAAAAAAACTGCGGTTGCCAACCCGCTCACCAAGCGTGGCAACTATGTCAATATACCCCCCTAATGAAAAAAGTTACGAAAAGACGACCCCCAGTCCCCGGCGGCCCCGCTATTCCTGGCTACGGTGGCGACCATGGTAACGGCGGGGCAGGGGGTGCTAAGAATCTCCGGTGGTGGTTCGGTTGCCACCTACGACGCCTCGACCTGACAACTTATAACGCACGCACCCTGAGGACTGACGAGAAGATCCTGAAGCTGGAAGAAGAGATAGACAAGTTGCGCTGGAATATTATAGAATTATCCGAGGTCCGAAGAGAAGGGGAGGACACGGTAATCCTCGAATCCGGCAACTTGCTCTATCACCGGGAGGGTGACCATCTGTCCAAAGAAGGTGTCGGATTTATCGTCCACAAGTCTCCCGTTAACAACGTTGTAAAGATTGGGAGTGTGTCGGAGAGGGTTGCGTACCTTATACTCAGAATCACCAAACGGTATTCGCTGAAGGTCATACAGGTTTACGCACCAACCTCGGCACACCCCGATGAGGAGGTGGAGGAAATGTATGAGGATATCTCTAGAGCCATGCATTCCTCCAAAACCCACTATACGGTGGGTTAATAGGAGACTTCAATGCAAAACTAGGCACAAGAGAGAACGGTGAGCTGAAAGTAGGGAAATTCGGAATAGGGCAACGGAACCCAAGGGGCCAGCAGTTGGCCGACTTCATGGAGAAAGAGGGACTCTTTATGATGAACTCTTTCTTCCAGAAGCGGTCCCACAGGAAGTGGACCTTGTGACCTTGAGCCCCGACGATTTGACAAAAAATGAGATTGACTTCATTATGACGACCAGAACACAACTGTTCAGTGATCTCTCAGTGATCGCAAGGGTGAAAACTGGTAGCGATCACCGCATGGTTAGAGACACACTGAACCTAAACGTTAAGTTGGAGAGGTCTCGTCTAATGAAGTCAACGCCCCGTCCCCCTCGTGCTTTAGTCCAAAACTTTTCAGCTCGAGTTAGTCGTTTTCAGTGCCTGGAAGACTGCAATGAAGTGGACGATATAAATGATAAGCTCGTGGAAACTGTCCATACGGTCAGAGCAAAGAACACAAAAACTCTCCGATCACTCTCTTAATTTCATGGCTGTTAGACGGGAAATGAAGCTGCAGTCTTCAACAGATTTGACAGCATACAGGCAACTGAACAGACAGATCTCCAAATGCATGCGGCAGAACTTACGCAACTTCAATACAGCTTGTATTGAAGAAGCGATCGAGTGAAACCAAGGCTCCAAAGTGTTTGACAGAGATCTGTCTGCCAGAAAGAGCCAACTGTCAAAGCTGAAGACCGAGTGTGGCAGCATCGTTTTCGGGACACCTGAGATTTTGAGTGAGATTGAGAGGTTCTATGGGCAGCTGTACACGTCATCGTTGGAGCCACACGCAAGTGTGAGTAACGATCCAAGAGCGAGTCTTATCCGACACTATTCCGAAGATATTTCGGACGTCAGTCTGAGCGAGATTAGAATGGCTCTCCAGCACCTTAAAAACGGCAAGTCCCCGGGCGAGGATGGAATTACAGCGGAGCTTCTGAAAGCGGGTGGAAAACCGGGACTTGTAGTTCTTCAGAAGCTCTTTAGTTCCGTCCTCCATGGTAGTACTACTCCGGAGGCGTGGAGCAGAAGTGCGGTGGTCTTGTTCTTCAAGAAAGGCCATAACGCTCTCTTGATGAACTACAGACCGATTTCCCTTCTGAGCCGCGTCTACGTGTTGTGTTCGACAGTCATTACGAATCGTCTCGCACGCAGACTCGACGACTTCCAGCCTCCCGAAAAAAAGTTCCAGTTTCCCAAAAAGCTTTAGTACCATAGACCACATACACACCCTTCGGCAAATTGTACAGAAGACAGAAAAGTACAATCTGCCACTTTTACTTGCGTATGTGGACTATGAGAAAGCGTTTGATTCCGTCGAAATTTGGGCGGTGCTACAGTACCATCAGCGGTGCCAAGTTGACTATCGGTATATCGAAGTGCTGAAGTATTTGTACAGTACGGCTACGATGGCTATCCGAGTACAGAACCAGAGTACGAAACCTATCCAACTGCAGAGAGATGTAAGACAGGGCGACGTTATAACCCCGAAATTCTTCACCACTGCATCGGAAGACGTTTTCAAGCTTCTGGACTGGAAAGGATACGGTATTAACATCAATGGCGAGTACATCGCTCTCCTTCGATTTGCCGACGATATAGTCCTTATGGCAGAATCGCTGGAGGACCTAAGTAGTGTGCTCAATGACCTTTATAGTGTCTCCCAAAAGTCTTAAGATGAACATGGACAAAACAAAGATCATGTTTAATGTCCATGTCACACCTATGCCGGTACTTTTTGGGAGCACTAAGCTCGAAGTTGTTGACGAGTGTGTAAACAAATAACCTGGGACAAATAGTCCGACTACGTAAGTCCAACTTCGACCGAGAGGTCAATCGACGGATTCAACTCGGTTAGGCAGCATCCGAGAAATTACGGCACATCTTCTCGTCAGGTATACCTCAAAACTTGAAAACGAGACTATACAACCAGTGCGTGTTACTAGTGATGACCTATGGAACTGAGATGTGGTCCTTCACTGCTGGTCGGGTGAGGAAGCTCAAGGTTACTCAGCGAGCTATGGACAGAACTATGCTCGGAGTTTCTCTGTGTGATAAACTTAGAAATGAGTATATCCGCAGTAGAACCAAAGTGACCGACATAGCCCAACGGAGCACTAAACTGAAGTGGCAATGGGCCGGCCATATAGCTCGAAGAACCGACAACCGATGGGCAAAAAAGGTTCTCGAGTGGCGGCCTCGTACCGACGGACGAGAGTAGGGCGTCCCCCCACTAGACGACCTGGTAAGACATGCAGGAAGTCGATGGATGCAGGTGGCTCATGGCCTTGGGGAGGCCTATGATCAGCAGTGGACTAGTGAAGGGCTGTAATGATAATGATGATGATAATACATACATAATATGTCTGGATAAAGGTAGCAGTATTTGTATTATGCTGACGACTTTGTTGTTTAGAGATGTTCCCGGACCAATCTTTTGAAGGCTATCTATCTTGTTTGGTGTTTTCCTAGTCTTCAGGTAATCAGTTCCAGAGTAGTGTAACCTGAACAGTAAAGGAATTGCCGATAAAGCCAGTAAAATGGAGTGGAACTGAAATCTTCAGATTAATTGAAGACTTACTGACTGACATACGGGTTTCAAAAGAGGATAAAGACTATGCAAATTATTTTCGCATGAAAGAGGCTTGTTTTGATAAATTACTGGTCTTGGTAACCAACCATACCTAAAAAAAAACAAGATACATGTATGCGAAAATCAATACCCCAAATAACACGCGGGCGAAGTCGCGGGGAACAGCTAGGTCTTAATATAAGTAGGGTGGTTAACGAGCATACCATACAGTCCGTTTGATCGTAAATAGATGCTGTGCTGTGACCCATTTACACTTACATCTATCATCGATTAAGAATCAACATACTGCTGCTCATCTCGTTTTACTTCCTCCTCTTAAAACATTCAAGGCGTGATATGGATGGATGATATGGACTCAGTTTGTACTTTTTTACGTGGTAGAGCCATGCTGCAGCTATATTAGTAGTATAGTTGTAGCACGAAGGGGTAGGCTCGACCGGGGAAGGACCACGCTCTCACAGAATCCCAGCGTGAAATATCAGCTTAACGCTGCTATGTTTCGTATGGTTAGTGTCGAGAACCGGAGACCCTTTTTACTGGAAATGAGGCATTCCATCTTAATCCTCACGGGTGACAAAATAGAGGATAGATGTAGATGTCTATGGGCCGCAGCAACCACTTACCATCAGATAGACTGTGTGCTCGTGTTTCACCCTTATCCTATAAAAAAATATAAGCAATAATGTTAGTTTAACTAAAGAACAATAAATAATGATAAACTGAAGCAAATATCGTCAAATTCTAGACCACCAATGTATTAAAATTGTAGTTGGTAATTCTACTTTTTTATATGTTTGAATTCTTAATATTAAATTTATGTTTTCGTCAATAAAGTGTTCGCCCATGGGTTAAAATCATTTTCCTTATTTATTCCAAAGCCTTTTCAGCACTGATTGTAGCGCCCGCTATTCTGTTATCAGCTGTTGATGTGATAATGAAGCGTTTAAAACAATTAAATGGTGCCGCGACTGCCTCACACGACTCTCATTTGTCACCTGTGGCGGGAAAATTAGATATATTAACTATTAATTGTTGTGTTTAGGTACGGACGTTTCTTACGTTTGTTTCATATGCTTTCCTGTTAGTTAAATTGAAAATTGTTTTATTACTAAATGCGTTAACAATTTGGAATGGATACTGTGTTCCTAGCATTTATGAAGGTAAATATTCTTTAGTTATCTATTATTAGAAGCCCACAGAAATTGTTTTGTTTAAACACACACGTTCAATTTTAAATCAACGACTGTTGGGCAAAATTAATTAAGGTATGGAAATTTGACTAACCTATATTAACTCGAGATCCTACAAATGAGCCAGAGTAAGATCTCATATTTAAATAAGCTAGTTTTAATGCCTTTTTTATTTTATTACATTAAACCATTGTTTAATGTAATAAACAATGGTTTAATGTTTATTACATTAAACCATTGTTTAATGTAATAATGTAATAGCGTGGTTCTACCACGCGGCAGCTTTTGCTGTCGCACGGATGGGCCGGCTCGAACCGGGGTAGTACCACGACCTCACAGAAAACCAGCGTGAAGTAGAGGTTTACCTCTGCGTTTCGCTTGGTGAGTGCAGGTGGCCGGAGGCCCTTTTTACTGGAAATGAGGCATTCCATCTTAGTCCTCACGGGTGACAACGCATCTACATTTTGATTTGTAACAGAGGATAGATGTAGATGTCTATGGGCAGCAGCAACCACTTACCATCAGGTGGACTGTGTGCTCGTTTGTCACCCTCATCCTATAAAAAAAAAAAAGTTTACTAAAATAAAATTTTGTGTTAGAAATGCTTCTCATTGAAGTTCTAAATAAATATCTAAATTCGGTGTTTGTTGAAACGTAGCAACAATTTTAAGAGATGATTATAATACTGATAATTATTCAAGTAAGATAATTTGTTCAAGTGATCTACTTAAAAAATATTGTTATGTTAATGAGCCCACATGAACTTGTAAGAGTTACGAATATTTATGGTGATGTGATTGACAACACTGACAAAGTTAAAATAATTTTAGTTGTAGTTAATACCTATCGAATAAATTAACTTCTGCAGGTTTCTTCACGCCGTTTTCCTTCACCGCCGAGCACGTGGTAAATCAACAAATTAAATTACAACTAGCTCGCCAGGCAGACGTTGTTCTGCCCTTTCCAACGACCCTTCCTATAAAAATTCTTAAATTCGCAATAAAAAAATTTGAGGGTCATTTATCGGGATAAAAACTATCCTATCTCTCAAGTTGGCCCAAACTGTACACAGTGTGCAAAATTTCATTGAAATCAGTTCAGTAGTTTAGGAATCCATCGCGGACAAACAACGTCACATGTAATTTTTATATATAAAGATTAACGATTTCGTTGGTACAGGCCGGGATCGAACCAGCGTTACTAGCGTACTGTTAAATTTATTGTGGGCGCCTAAACCATTTTTTAATTTTGACTTTAGTGGTCTTGCCAGGAAATACCTACTCTTTTTTATAGAATAAGGGAGACAAACGAGAAAACAGTCCACCTGACGGTATGTAAATGCTGTGGCCTACAGACATCGATTCGAAGATCGAAATCGAATCAAAAGGCAGATGGGTTGTGAAACTGAGGACTAAAATTGAATGCCACGTTTCTAGTATAAAGGGTCTCAACACAATACGAAACACAGCAATAGAGTGTCCTTCCGCGGTCGAGGCGATCCCTTCGTGCTACAACCATAATATAGCTGCAGCATGGCTCGACTACGTTGAAAGAAACAAAAGAAAATTGGAATCGAGTAAGAAAATTTCCTGAAGTCACTAGTAACAATAACTTTTAGTTTAGACCTCTGGGAATGGCCGGATATTCTTAGTTTATGAATCATGCGATATAGTATGCAAAATTTATCGATCGAGCGATTTTCGTCTAATATTTAAATGACACCGCCTATATTTTATAATATTTTTTATCTCTATTTGATTTATTGATATAAATTTGATTAGTTTGATTACCTCCTTACCTGAAATCACGTATCAAAGTGATTTAAAAATTATAACGTTAAAAAATCTAAGCTGTTGCGTAAATTTTAGCGAAACTTAAAATAATAAGTGTATAAAAATTATATACAATTTTTCAAAATACTCTCTTTTTCTCGCCCTCTATTTATACATACGTTTGACTAACTCGTTTGCTTTAGAAGCAAAGTACCCAGAACGGTAACGATCGATGGTAGAATGGATTAGTCGGCGTCGATCGAGCTGCTTAATTATTCGAGAAACCGCCCCGCTCAACCAACCGCATTTTGAAGGATACTGATGATGAGCCCACATCCACATCTATAAATTGTCGATCGAGGCCGATCGATGATTGAACAACGTTTTATCGACCAGTATCCGTCGATCAGCTAAGGCTACCACACCAATCGATCGACAGCGATCGACAGCGTCGAAGGTGTTAAAGACCTGATACTGCGATCGTTCTGTCTAGTATAGCAATTTAACAAATCCTCTCTACACTACAAAAACACTAGTATCCGGTAGTGAATTTTGACAGGTTGATGTAGAGAAAAATTTTAGCAAGGGACGAAAGGGAAAGAAGACCCATCAAAAGCAGTGTGTAAATTTTTATGAAATTGCCGGAATGTCCCATCATATTTTCAGTCATTAAAATGCTCCGTGCGACATATTCATAGAGTATTCTAAATATTTAGATATAATTAATTATAGAGTCAGTTTAACATGAATTATCAGCTATGAAATTGCCGTTTTGTATAACGGGCCATTTTGAACGATATACCTATAGTGGTACTTGGAATTCTAAATTCAAATTAATTTTATATTTAAGGCATGTTATCCTCGTTTCAAAATCAATTATCTATATGTTTCTGTTTTTGCTACAATATCGTTATATTTATATGCTCCATGCAAATTCGTATTATCTATACTTACATATAATAAATCTGTAGAAAAGTCGTGTCTGTAATTCTAATATATTCTTGAAAAATCAAGTCTAGGGGACTTGTTAAAACCAAATTAACTTATGAATGATTGTAAAGAGTAAAATGTAAATAATAATAATAATAAATTTTGATTCCAAGACAATTTACCTTTTTTATGGATACATCGGAAGACACGCCCGATATAAAAAGTCGTAGGTGGAAAAAACGGAACCCTTATAGGATCACTTTGTTGTCCGTCTGTCTGTCTGTCAAGACCCTTTTTCTCAGGAACGCGTTGAGGTATCAAACTGAAATTCATATCAAATACTCATGTCTACTGTCCCTTGGAGCTGTGTAAAAATCAAACTTCTAAGAAAACGCAATCAAAAGATACAGTCGTTTATACCGCAAATTTTCGATATTCGGAAGGGAATCAAAACCTACAGGGTACTTCCCGTGAACTCCGAATCTTAACATTTGGTACGAAGCAGCGTATTATAACACAGATAAAGGAAAAATTGCGAAAAGCATAAATTTTTAGTTACATCACATGATAAAAATATTTTTAATAATTTTAAACGTATATACCTCCGGATTTGTTCGGAACCCTCGGTGCGCGAGTCCGACTCGCACTTGGTCGGTTTTTTTAAATATAAGTTGAATAATGTATCTCAAATGGTCCGCATTATCAATACGCACACTACTACCTTTCGTTAGTCAAATTTTGAGATCTCAAATTAGCCTCTTGGCTGCCCCAACTAAATAACACTAAATGGGAGGCCGGCATCCAAGGAAGACACTCAGAAAATTATTTAGAATTGACTGCTATGAGAAGTGGTCCCTATACTCAAGCATTTATACACAGTGGTTAGATCCAGGTGCCCAAGCCAAACAGTACCTGAAACGAAAGATTAGCCAAAAAAGGCTTGTAGTGACAGTTTGATAAGTGAAGCTTCTTGCTATGGTCACAGTTACTGCTGATCGCTATTGTCTAAAATTACTAATGACCGTGGAGAAGCGGGCACACAACATGACAACGCCTGGTCACACACTACAGGATAGACTTTGACAAAATTAGCATAGCTAAACCTATGAGACCCTTCCGCATGGACTATATTCTCCAGACCTTGCCTCAACAGAATTCCACTTTTTTTTTGAAGTTTATATAACTTTAAAACGCTTTTGTAAAGAACGCCTTTGAGTTCATTAATTTTTGTCCAGTAAACTTCAGCACATTAACCATATGACCCATAAAATCGTAAGAATGTGTCTGTTAATTTCCAACTAGTTCAAAGTCTGACTTTTACAAATGGAAATATTTTTTTATAAATTTTAATAATTAAAAGAAATGTTTTAATAAATGGTTTACTTGCCTGTTATACGCTAATGTTGAACTACTATTCCACTTGCTGGTATGTGGTGATGTATCTGAAGATGGTAAAACGTGCGATTTTTTTTAATGATAGTTTAAGTTATTCTATGAAAATTTGCATTTTCATATTCTCTTAAAAATTAAAAAGTAAATCCACTCATTTCTGAAAGGGTTTTGAAGCAATTAATCCGCATACCTGTTTCACTGCGTATTGGCGGACTTAACTTTTCTTCTAAACATTGTATTTCCCAGACATGCAGGATTACGTGGTAAATCAACACTTAAAATTTCTATAAAAGTTCTTTGGTGCCTGTTGGAGATCAAACCCGAGTTGCTTGTCTACTGTGACATTTACGTCGAGCGCTTAGCTCCTTTTTAGGGTTTCGTACCCAAAGGGTAAACAACGGGACCCTATCACTAAGCTTCCGTTGTCCATCCGTCCGTCTGTTCGTCCGTCCGTCTGTCGGTCAGTAGGCTGTATCTCGTGATCCATAATAGGCAGACAGCAAAGACATTTAAGTAGTTAGTATACCTATATATTTAAATCTCTTTGGCAGACAGTTGAAATTTTCACAGAATGTGTAGCTATTTCTATAATAATTTCTTATATTTACGCGAATACTACACATTGAATAAAACTATATTTACGGATTTTATCGCGTTTGATTTACTTACTTCAATTCCCGACGAGGATTTGTGGTCTATCAAATCTAATGCACATTACATTAGATTTGTGTTCAAATCCTCGTAAAAGAACACCGATTCCTACCAAGGATGATTTACGAGGCTATTGAAATTAAAAAACACCCTAATTTCAATAAAGAAGATGGATGGGTGCTGCTATCTGTTTGGGATTCTATAATTAATAAAATTAAATCCAATCCCAAGCAAACCACAGTAAGACTTCAAGATACTATAAGCTCATTCTACGTAGATCGGACCAAAAATGAATATTCAAAAACTGAAGGTAGCCGGGCTAACTATGATATCGGAACCACATGAGTAAATAAACGGAACAGAGATAAAGCTTCATACAACCGTGCGAATCGGTTGCACTACTACAAACACGCGGGCCATGTGTGCGTGACCACTAGCCGCCTGTCGCGTACGCGACGAGACTGGAAAAAACCGGTTACGCTAGCACAGCCAGTGGACAACAATCTTAGGGTCAGTGCAACGCACGTTGTTTCTTTAGTTAGTTGCAAGTTTGAATATTTTAATGTAAAAACTTGGTATTATTAATAATGTTTTTTAATGTGTGTATGAAAAATAATAGAAAAAATAAAAATATATCATACTTTAACTATCCCTATTAGGTAATAAATATTTGATTATTACTTTTTCAAGTACCTTTATTTTATTGTATGGTTACGACACGGTGTGATATTATACCTTTTTATTGTTATTACAAGCTTCTTCTAAACATTTGTAGGTATATTAACAATTGTAGGTATAGGGTGGGTTGGTATGTAGTAGGTATGTGGGTTAAGTTCACATATTGCAATTGCGATGTCTGATTGAGTTGAAATTTTGTATACCGTGACAATGCTATAATATAATAGATATAAACTGATGCTGCAGCCAGAATTGTCTCCTCACTAGGGAAGTCCTCAACGGGTAGTAGCATGATCACAAAATTTTGTATATTAGTTTAATTTTGACAGTTAACACAATGTTTATCATGAACTGCTGCTGCAGCCAGCATTGTCTCCTTACGAGGGAACTCTAACGGTTAGAAGCATGGAATCGAAGCTTTGTGCTTAAATTTAATTTTGTTTTTTAAACATGATCTTCATCATAAACTGCTGCTGTAAACAGGATAGTCTCCTCACGAGAGAACTCGACAACCGGGAACTCCATGTCAATGTTGGCGACGAAATACTTAATTTTTGTTTTATTCAATATATGTATTTCTGTTGCCCCTATAAATAATATAAAAATAAAAATAAATTCAGAATTAACGGGGGCTTCCCTATTAGAAACGTGTTTTATGATGTTACGGAATCCTTAATGCGTGAGTCCAACTCGCACTTTAAAGTTAAAGGAGGCTATTACCCAAATGGGATATTAAGAAAAATATTTTTAATAGAATTGTTATATGTACCCACATATATAGAAAAATGATATGGAAATAAAAAGCTAAGGATAAAATATAATATAATGGAATAGAATAATTTTTATTCAATGCATTTACTATATTACACAAGTAATTCTTACTAAAAGCCATTTTCTTACTTTTACCATTGGTTTGGAAAACCCTCTGTCCTGGGAAGAACCAGTTGGACTTTTCTATGGTTGTGCCACTAAATTATTGTTAAAGCTCAGACTAACAAACTCAGATAGACGGAGACGTACATTTAAGTGATGCTGGAACCACGATCAACTTCTTGACACGCATTCATCTTTAATTTTTTTCTTTTTCTTTACCGACCCTTAAAAGTTCACAGCTACCCTACGTGGTAGAGCCATGCTGCAGTTATATTATGGTTGTAGCACGAATGGGTCGGCACGACCGGGGAAGAACCACGCTCTCACAGAAAACCAGCGTAAAATAGCAGCTTAACGCTGCTGTGTTTCGTATGGTGAGTGTAGAGAACCGGAGACCCTTTTTACTGGCAAAGAGGCATTCCATCTTAGTCCTCACGGGTGACAACGCATCTGCATCTTGAATCTTTATTGAGGATAGATGTAGATGTCTATGGGTCACAGTAACCACTTACCATCAGGTGGACTTTGTGCTCGTTTGTCACCCGATCCTATATAAAAAAAAAGCTAAGAATAAAATATAATATAATGGAATAGAATAATTTTTATTCAATGCATTTACTATATTACACAAGTAATTCTTACTAAAAGCCAGGTCCTGGGAAGAACCAGTTGGACTTTTCTATGGTTGTGCCACTAAATTATTGTTGAAGCTCAGACTAACAAACTCAGATAGACGGAGACGTACATTTCAAGTGATGCTGGAACCACGATCAACTTCTTGACACGCATATCATCATTTTTTTTTCTTTACCTACCCTTTAAAGTTCACTGCTACCATATTAATATTCACTTAAGTCCTTGTTATAATGAACTCAAGGCTTCTTCTTTCTTTTTTGTTGGACGGAGTGTTGAAGTTATTATTATATACTTTATTGAACACCAAAAACACAGATTACAGAGAGATAAACATCGAGATTACGGAGAAAATTGTACTGTTGGGCAGTGTGAGGTTAATATTTTCAATTATAATTTTTTTTTCAGATGAAACTAATAGCGATCGGTTTATCACTAGCTTTACTAGGCTCTGGGCGAGCTCAAAACCCTAATTGCGACTTTACTCAGAATGTAAGTGTGCTTTTCAATTATTATAATCAGTCACGTTGGGAATCGGCGTACATTGTCGCCTGATCGCATCGCACGTTGTAATTATTTACGAGTTATAGTAGTGGTCGAAATCGATATAAAACTACATCATAGGATAGTAATGATAATGAACTTTATGCATCGCTACAGTTAAATAGCAGCCGAAATGAGCCATCACAATTACCATGTATGCGTGTTTTAGGTACGACCAAACCAAGTGTACTACGTCTACAGCCCGAACTATCCTAACAACTATTCCGCGGGGGTTCAGTGCAGGTGGATAATGGTTTGTCCAACAGGATACAACTGTCAGCTGGACTGCTCCGAGATCAATTTACCTGAGGTAAGAACAGTTTAGTAAACTGAAGTCAGGCATAGGTCCTCTTAGAATCATTTACCCTTGAGGAAGAAGTTTTCAAGTAGCAGTTCTTCCGTACAGGTATGTAGGCGTATGGCAAGCCCTCTTTAATGGCATATATATTATAATATAAAGCGCAAGTCCCGTCGGGCAGGTATACTGCTGTTATATGACAATAGAAGCGTGCTAAGAGGCTTATTGGTGACTTTGATTTGGTTGAAACCGATTTTGTCAACCTTAACCGCAGACGCGGAGGAGCTAGAGCCTATCGGTATTCTCTGTGATGCAATTTGGAAAGAACTCCTTACCCTTTTCACCATCGGACAACCAGAAGACTAGCGGTTTCTTTGTTATCGTTATTCCACACATTTGGACGTCTTTTGTAATGCGTACATCAAAGAAGTTAAATAATTTTCCGGCATCTTTTTAACAGTGGTAGAGCCACGCGGCAGCTTTTGCTGTCGCACGGATGGGCCGGCTCGAATCGGGGTGGTACAGCGACCTCACAGAAAACCAGCGTGAAGTAGAGGATTACCTCTGCGTTTCGCTTGGTGAGTGCAGGTGGCCGGAGGCCCTTTTTACTGGAAATGAGGCATTCCATTTTAGTCCTCACGGGTGACAACGCATCTACATTTTGATTTGTAACAGAGGATAGATGTGGATGTCTATGGGCCGCAGCAACCACTTACCATCAGGTGGACTGTGTGCTCGTTTGTCACCCTTATCCTATAAAAAAAATCTATCTTTCCATCTGATTACAATCTGCTGTCTTCAAGGCAAGAGAGAATAGGATTTTGTTACGCTTAGACAGTGCGATTTATCATCTAGGGCTTCATCACCATTTACTACCGAGTGGGGTTGTAGTCAAGTACTGGCTTATACAAGTAAAAGAGAATGTAGAATTGATGAAGCATGTATGAAAACAATGGATGCAGGTAAATTCTCATTACTAGCTTGAATTTTTGAGATCGTTCATTATCATCATCAACCCACTGCTGAACATAGACCTTAAATTTGACAGGACAATTGACGATTGTTACCAGACGTCACGTACCGTTGAGGCTGGTGAGTATTTCAGCTCTAGCGTGTAAACGAGATGTCTATATCTCCAACTATCAGAAGATACTGGCATTTCTCTTTTATTTTTCTGCCGACTTCCAAAAATGAGACGGTACTCAATTCGACTGTATGTTTATTTAATTGTGTGTCATAACTTTTTACTGTGTGAACCGATTTCGATGATATTTTTTTATATAAAAGCTGATACTTCTCGTGTGGTCCTATATGAATTTCATCAAGGTCAGACCAGTAGTTTTTGAGTTATTCTTAATAACTTATATTGAAGTCGGCTGTACAAATTTTTTTATTTTAAATTATTATTCTACAATAAAAAAGATTTTTTTATTCTATAAATAAAATAAAATAGAAATGCCAGTAACATTCCATAACTTTTAATAGTTGGCGATATAGCCATATCTTACGCCAAAACGAGACTAAGAGAAGACGGTTAATGGATACTACAACGTCGTCAATCGCCTTACTTAATATGTTATGAAACCAAATAACTTCATACTTTATACATAATAAAAATTATGTTTCTATGAGGTTTCTCTAATCGGAAAAGAAACACACATGTCTCATAACTTTTTTCTAGGTGAACCGATTTTGATGATTCTTTTTTTATTAGAAAGCTGGATCAGGGTCTGATCATTAGTTTTTGAGTAATCCTTAAAAATTTATATAGAATTCGGTTGAACAAAATTTTATTTTTACCACTTGTTGTAATTTTAAAGGTCAAATACAATAGTGTGGTAGAGCCATGCTGCGGCTATATTAGTAGTATTGTTGTATTTATTTGTACCAGCGTAAAATAGCAGCTTAACACTGCTGTGTTTCGTATGGTGAGTGTAGAGAACCGGAGACCCTTTTTACTGGAAAAGAGGCATTCGATCTTAGTCCTCACGGGTTACAACGCATCTGCATTTTGATTCACAAACGAGGATAAATGTACCTACATGTCTATGGGCCACAGCAACCACTTACCATCAGGTGGACTGTGTAGTCGTTTGTAACCCGATACTATAAAAAAAAAAACTAGTAAGATAAATATCCGTCCCCAGCATGGAGTGCAGTCTCAAAACGACCGCACTCGGAGCGTTTATTGGAATGCTTTTAAATAATACAGTATTTGTCATATGTAGAGCGAGGACGTAGTTACATTTTTGACGTGCTCGAATTTAGATATTCGAATTGCAAGCTGACTTACGCACGCACACTTTGAAACAGTTTTCGGCTATATTTTATATATTATACCTAAATAAACTTTATACTTGTTCAGACTAACAACAGAAGATAGACGAAGCGCTGCGATCATTTTAAGTGAAGCCGAAACCATGCTCAACTTCTTGACACGCACTCTCATATAAATCTTTTTTGTTTCATTCTTTATCAGCCTGTAAAAGTTTATTTTTAGACACACACACATGTATGCACCTAAAACCATGTTGCAAATGATTTTAGATCCATAAATGTAGGTGAGTGCGTGTTCTTGCAATAAAGTGAGCATGGTTTTGGTTTGGTTTTTGCATCCCTTGAAATGTATGCAGCAGCGCTCCATTTTTCTTTCTTTTATTGTATGAGGATTCTTAAAAGTATTATTAATTTTACAAGTATTGAGTAAAGTTAGTTAGCAAAATTTTGCAATCGCATTTGATATCTGGCATAGTTATAATAATGTTCTTATTATTTGTAAATTTGAGAGTGGGGTTCGGTTTCAGTATTATTAAAAAATAATTTTGTATAGGACGCCAATATACAGGAATGCACAAAAATCTGTATTACTGTACATGTACCGATTGTATGTGCGTGTGTAAGTGAGGAATCTTTCTTTATAAGTTCATTTAATTTTCGATAATAATGGTTAAACATTCTCTCTCTTATCACTAAAAATTACCTTGGCCAAGGTTATCTAACTAATGATATCCAACATGACGGATGGAATTCTTATTTGAAGATGCTTATAACATATGAAGAAATTAGATTTAATTAAAACAAAAAAAAAAATACAAATCAGGTCAATAATCAAAAATTTTAATGTAAATTATTTTAATGAGCAAAGTTTGATAAAAAATGAAAAATAAAACAGGTAAATGATTGCTTTTACATATTATTTCATCGGTATGTTTTACATTAGATTTTTTTTATATACTTATACTTTTTATAGGAAAAGGGTGATAAACGAGTGCACAGTCCACCTGATGGTAAATTGATGCTGTGTCCCATAGACATCTACATTTATGCTCGATTACGAATCGAAATGCAGATGCGTTGTCACCCGTGAGCCGTGAGGACTAAGATTGAATGCCTCTTTATCAGTAAAAAGGGTCTCCGGTTCTCTACACTCACCATACGAAACACAGCAATGTTTCTATTTTCGTGATGTTTGCGTTGTTACCCTATACAGCTCTCACAGCTTCATCTGACACAGAGCTATTCACAGTAAGTGTTAAGCTGCTATTTTATGCTGGTACTCTGTGAGAGCTCTCCCCGGTCGAGCCGATTCATTCGTGCTACAACTATCCTACTAATGTAATCTACATCTACATATGTGTAATCTACAGTCATGCATGTTATCACTGAAAGCCCTTTCTAATTCTCGAGATGTTTTATATGGTACATTGCTTAAATCGTAGCCACTCAGTATTTCCTTAACAAGGTGAGCACATTTGGTATTTTCAAGCCGCTTGCAGACTGGCAAATCATGAAGCTCTCAACTTTTATTTTAGTTTTCAAGAGCGAGTTTGCAGTCTGTAAAACTGTGCTCCTATCAATATAGTTTTTCTGTTCTGGGAATTCACCAATTTTAATATAAGGTCGAGTATTTCTGATATAAGCATAGACAGTGGTATCTCCAACCAATCAGTATTCAAATGTTAATAAATAAGTCCGTGGTCTCACAAATACTTTTTACTTGATAAACCCACAAAATTTCTTGAATGACGTATGATCTGGTGGCTCAATTCTTTTGTTTTCTGATTGGGAACATGTGATAGAATATTATTTTTTCACCCCACAGTACAGGACTTCTTTACTGTGCTGGTCACCAATTGTCGCAGCGTTAGAGGAAACATCGTAACTTGTGCCGTATGAACGTTTTACTCTACACGCGTCTGCAATTTCGGCTATAGTTGCTATTCCTTGAAACACGACATATTTCCAATGAGTTTTACATGCTCGACCTCTTATTTCCTAGCCTCAACTATACGATGCTCCGCCGTTTGTTCCCATCATTGGCAAACTTAATTACGCGTTACTTCATAGAACCGCAAAAGTACCATTGGATGTCTCCATAGACAAGGACAATATTAAGCTAAAGATATATCTATGTATATTCAAGAAAAGAGCTTACACCTGTCTAAAAGGCCGATAACGCATCTGCAATTCCCCTGGTGTTGTGGTTGTTCATGGGCGGCGGTAGTCACTTGGTAGCCGCATGCTTGTTTGTCCCCTCTTCTATAAAAAAAACCAGTGGATATAATTCTTGCTATAACTTCCTGATGTATGCCCATTTTACTATCGCCATAGAACACTGTTTCCTGCTTTAAATTCTCAACACACACTTTACTAAGAAGTTTATCACTTTAATGAAGGCCATCTTTTATTTAACCATCTTCAAAAAAAGGAGGTACTCAATTCGATTGTATTTTTTTTCGTTTCGTTTGTTCTTGTGTTCGTTACCTCGGAACTTTCTTCTAGGTGAGTTGTACTTTTTTATTGGAAAGCTGGTGCTTCTAATGTAGACCCATATAAATTTGATCACGATCTGACCAGTAGTTTTTGAGTTATCCTTAATAATGCGTATTTAATTGACTGCAACTACATTAATGATGCTCTCATTTTTTTTTTATATTGAAGTCGGTTGTACAACATTTTCAATTTTACCACTTGTCTTTATTAATACTGCAGCTCAAGAAAGTTCAATCATT